TCCTGCATAGCATGTGTCATATGGCCTGGTATGGATGGCGTATGTTTAGCCCTGTCAGCACTAGTGGGTCTGTGTCCTGCGGTGTACCTAATATCAGACAACAAATGGGTAAGTCCAGTACAGTGTGTGCCTAAGAAGGGAGGAATGACGGTGGTAACAAATGAGATGAATGAGTTGATCCCCACAAGAACAGTGACTGGGTGGCGAATTTGCATGGACTACAGAAAGTTGAATGACGCCACAAAAAATGACCATTATCTGGTACCTTTCATTGATCAAATGTTGGATAGGCTGGCAGGTCAGGAATACTACTGTTTCTTTGATGGTTATTCAGGTATAATCAGATCATCATTGCACCAGAAGATCGGGAGAAGACTACATTCAGTTGCCCGTATGGTATGTATGTGTTCAAGCGCATGCCATTCAGCTTGTGTAATGCCCCAACCACATTTCACAGATGTATGATGGCAATCTTCCATGATATGGTGGAGGATTTTGTTAAAGTGTTCATGGACGACTTCTCGGTGTTTGGTGAGTCTTTTGAACTTTTCTTGACTAATCTTGACAGAGTTCTTGCCAGGTGTGAAGAAACAAATTTGGTGCTAAACTGGGAGAAGTGTCACTTCCTAGTTCGATAAGGCATTGTGTTGGGGCACAAAATCTCCAAAAGTGGGGTGGAAGTTGACAATGCTAAAGTGGAAGTTATTGAAAAGCTGCCACCTCCCATCATAGTAAAGGGAGTTAGAAGCTCAAGTATTAAAGTGGCTCTTTTTAAGAGCCGGGTATCGTACCCACTGGGACTTACGCTTAGAATTACTTAACTTCTCTAACTTTCAGCTAAACACAAGTGCATTCAAGATTTTAAAAGTGATTTAGTTTCTACTTCTAAGATTATAACAAAATTTAACAAAAGCGAGTCAATTTCAAGGGTTTAAAAACAGTGATTGGGTAAAGTCCAAGGCTGCAGCTTTTATCAGGAATCATGCAATTAATATCATTTATATGGGTAATTATCAACTATCGAATCAATGAATCACAGGTTTAAATGTATGATCATGGTCTCCCGACCTCTAATCGCCTACGATAAATAACACTCTAACTACATCGTTGAGCGGGGATAGGATGGATTAAGTACCGAGCATTACGATTTCTTCCTGTATGGTGACCCAAGCAACGTTTCTAGGTATATCATTATCCTAGATACAAATTAACCCTAGTTATTTAGAATTAATCATGCTCCTTATGTCCCACGTTCTATCCTCTTATTTCTCTCTCGAGTTCAATTTGAACAATGTATTTATTTCAATGGTGATCAGCCACGAAATACGGAAAGCAAGAACATAAGAAAGATTCATATGATAATTGACATTAACCTAATAACAAAATCAATAGATTACAATCATCCTGTAGCCATAGCCCTAGAACTAGGGTATTTAAGCTAACTCATAATCCAAGAATCGATCAAACAATGTTCAAATAACATACAAAGATCGAAAGGAAAAGAGTTTAGGAAAGAACCCTAAAAATGGTGAGAACGTTCTCCCAAGTCGTCGTTCTTCAAAACCAAGAAAAAGAATAATTAATAAAATAAAATAATGACCAATTTATACTAAAATTCGAAACATCCAAAGCCGGGCACAAGGGGCGCGACGCTAAGGCAATCTTTATTTTGTTCTGAGATAATTTTCTCTTCTCCGCGACGCGGGAGCTACACGAACCATTCTGCCTAAATCTTGATTTCGCAAATTAATTTATCATTCCTCTCCGCGACGCGGAGAGGATACGGATATGCCTTAAGTGACATTCCTCCAGCTTCTTCCTTGCCCTCTTTTGCCTCGAATTTTTTGTGTTCCTCCATTGTCCATTTTCGAGCTCGTTTCTCCAATTAAGCTTACCTACACAACTAATCATGCTGGTTAGCTCATAGAAAACCAAAAGACTCAATAAAACTATAAACGAACACATATTGAATTCAAACTAAGTTTAAATGCGGACATAATTATCTTTCTAGGCATATAAATATGCCTAAGATCAACAAGCTTATGGATTAAAAAAGTCTCATTGAGTATGCTTGGGTGAAGTCAATTAAAGTATTTTAGTAAGAAAGTGCACATAAAAATTGGGTTAGTCCTTTGAACTTGATGGGTATACCTGAGTTTGAGGTGTCATGCTGATGGAAAGTTTTACTTTGTGGTGATAGTCAGGGCTGACTGAGCATAAGGGTAATAAGAGTTTGTGATGGAATGCTACCATATAATAAGATTAGTTGGCAACTATTGAAAAAGACTTGAGAAAGGAGTGTACAGACATTAGCTCTAGTGTGATGATAAGTGTTTTGTTCTTGTTTTTGAGTTTAGTAATGAGTATGATTCACTAGCTATGCTCTAGTGTGTTTTCACTTTTGTGAGTAGATCCCTAGTGGTCGATCAGGGGTACCAAATCCTGCGATGTTCTCTTGGTTGAGTGGGAGGATTGGGAAGATTTGGTTATTTCGAATGACATAATTGGTGTTGTCTTGGAGTTGTTAAAGTATTTTAGTGGTTCGACATGTACCAGTTGCTTATGAGAATTCATACAAGATCTACCCTGTGTGATTATGGTTGTCCGACAATCTTAATATTCGTCTAGTCGTCGAGATCATGTATTAATTGTGTGTGGATGAATGTGGGGATCATTGGGTCCAATTCTACTGTTCTTAAGGGTAATCTACAATCATAATTGTTAAATCTAGCATTCGATAGTATGGTTAGAGGGTTGTATGCTTGGACATATCACTTAATGAGTATCTAATGTATAAAGATCAAATTTTGTAACTTAAGCTCATGGAAATTTATGTTGTGAGGAAGAGATCTTGATAAGAACTATGATTGGTTGAGTATTATGAGTGTGTGTTGGTTGGTTCAGGTCCACCTCTAATTGTAGCGAGTATTGATTTAGAATTTTATCATGCTTATATGAGAAAGGATTAGTCCTGATGATTGTGTCAAGGTCCTTGATAACATGTGGCACGCGTGAGTATGATCAACTTTGGTGGTTATAGAGAATAGCTTTTGTTGTAGTTAAGTTTACATACAACAATAATTATCACTCGAGTATTGTGATGACTTCATTGAGGCATTGTATGGGATGATGTGTAGATCACCCATAGGGTGATTTGGGGCTGAAGATGTAAAATTTTTGGGAGTTGATTTGGTGAAGGATGCTCAGGACAAGGTGAGAAGTATCCAAGCTAAGTTTCTAGCAGCCCAGAGTCGACATAAAAAGTATGCGTGACAAGTATCCCCAGTGATTCAACGATTCAGATACTACTCTACTCTCACTTCAGCCAGTCTTTCCTAGTTGATCACTCGAGAACAAGTGATGGGTAAATTGATATCTATTGTAACGACCTGATTCCGTCATTAGGGAAAAGCCAATGGGGAAAGAATTGGACCAGAAAAACTTTTGAGTAGTAACTTGAAGTTTTCTAGCCTAGTCTAGATTTGGATGAAATTGGAGTCAGGCGAGTCTAGGGAAATCTGGTAATGAATGAGAAGTGTAATAATGAAATTGATTGCGTGAGCGGATATCTAAGATGTTTAGAATCCCGTATGACTTTACGAAATTGAATTCGGAGGAGTAGAACTCCCAGAATTTGATCATAGCGTGAACGGGTGTTTTCTGAGTGTCGTGGGATGAAGGTGTGTTGTGAAATTGGGGGTTTGGAGCTCTTAATTTGACATTTTATTTCCGTGCAAGCCGTTATGACGGGATTATTCCCGCCAGGGTGGGGCTGCTGTGGCGGGTCGGGGGCTTCCATAGCGGGACAATCGCAATTTAAGAAGGAAATTAACCCCAAAATTATTTTATTCTGCAAGTTTCGACTTTGAGAGCAAGGAGACGACCCAAGTGCTTTCTTGATGGTTTTTCGCCATTCTTAAGGCTAAAGGTAAGGTTTTAACTCCCCGAAACCATTTTTCGATCTGTAGAATGTAAATTCGTGGGTGATTATCGATGGGGAAGGGTTTTGATCTGGAAATTATGGTGGAAAAAGCCCTAATCTGGGTATTAGGATCTTGGGTTTGGTCTAGGGTTATTGTGTTTGCTATAATCCGGATAATTAGACCTTTGATTGTTGATCCTTGCATATATTAATTGTTTGTAGACCTAGAATAAGCGGAAAGAATCTGGAAAGGAAAGATTCAAGTGCCTTAGGTGATTCAAACTTGGATTCGAGGTAGGTGATGGTTGTGATTTCATGTTGGTGTGATATATGTTTGTAATTGCTCATTATAATGCATGTATGTATGTGAATGTTGCATTATTGATCACCCCACTACACCATTTTAGGCCTACGACCATACTAAATCTGGACAACGCTTGTAAAGTGTTGCCTAAAATACTTTTGGGGACGCTTTTAAAGCGTAGCCCAAGTTTTAAACTTTTAGCTTCAATAACATTAGCAACACTTTTAAAGTGTACTCTTTAATGGTAGAAGCTACACTTTATAAGTGTTGTTATAATTGGCAACAACTATTTATATAAATGGCCACACTTTTAAAGTGTCCTATTTTTATAATTATAAAAACAACACATTACAAATGTGGCCTTAGTGTTTTCACTAAAATATTATATTCCCTCCAACATTTTAACATTAAAAACTTGTTCTCCCTCCAATTTTTATTGGGCAAAAAAAATAAAACATTAAAGTTTATTTTCAGCTAAAGAAAAAATAAAGTACTATTTCCCTAAAACTTCAACTGATCGACGTTTCCATTTCCCTCCAACTAAAGTGAAGAACACGATTTTCAGCTGAGGAACTGAAGAAATTGGCTTTTCTCTCAAGAAGAACTGAAGAACACGTACGATTTCCCTCACAAATTTCCGTCAAACTTCAGCTGAAGAGCAGATTTTCAGCTAAATAACTAAAGAACAATACGCTTTACAGATTCCTTGTTGAAGAGTTGTTCCATCAGATTTCTTGTTGAAAATTGAACAAAATGCTTCACAGATGAACTTGTCTCACGTCTTAAAGATTTAGGGTTGTTGGAATAGAGTTTATCAGGTAAGAAATTCTATCTTTAAAAGTCTAAAATTCTAGCTTTTAGGGTTATGATATTCTTGTGCATCTTTGAAATTTTAAACTTTAACTTAGGGTTTTGATATTCTTGTGTTGTTGGTACGAATTTTGTTGATTTTTAGGACTCTAGCTCATAGTTGTATTACGTATAAATAGGCTAATTATCTTTGACAGTAATTTTTTTATTCTCTTGAATGTTGAACGTACCAGCTGAAGTTCTCTGAAGAACTGAGCTGAAGCTAAGTCGTCTTTCTCTGAAAACTAAAAAGCTGAAGCTGGCGATACCTACGATTCCCTTCTCCCTAATACAGATTTCGTCAAGAGTAAGTAGTTACTCTACTAATAATCTAGTACTAAAAACAGTCTTCTTGTCAATTGACTGAATTTTTGTTTTGTGTTTAGAAGAGGAGAATAAGAAGGAATTGATTACTTTGGGGTTGTTGGAAATGGAACAAATTAAGAGTTACAGCTGAAATTCCAAAGTATAGGAAGAAAGCGTCGAAAATCGTGAACCCTAGGCATATTCAGCAGCCGAGATAGAGGGAATTACTACTCGAAAGCATTTTGAGTTGAGTTTAGTAACTATCGTTTAATAGCTTTGTTTTAACTTTCAATTATAAACTTCTCTAAGCTAATTCCAAAAGCACATTGTAGAATTGTAGTATCAACTATGGAATACTTGAACTTCTCTGTTATGCTCTCAATATGTCTCATAGTCTTATTGTACTCATGTTCTAGCTTGTATGCTCTTTTTAGATGTTTCAATATCATCGTTTAATGGGAAGTTGTATGAATGTATTTGCCAGAATTATGATTATTGTGTTCCTTTCTCTACATCTTTCGTTACCCCAACAAATGATTCATTCAACGCAATCCTATAATTCACTGCACAAAATCTCAGATGTTTACTTCTTTCTGTTACTAAACCTCAGCTTATTTTCACACTAT